AGGTTATATACCAAAGTGGTATACTATGATAAAATGGGCACAGAATCCCGAATATTATCTTGATACTAAAAAAAGTCTATTTAGTATACTAGTAGTCAGAATGGGAATGTTGGCATAACTTAATTTATATATTAATATCCCGCCTAACAGTAATTAGTGGTATAGAGATAAAGCATCCTGAGAGTGTTCTGGCTGAAATTTGCCAAAAAAGGAAAGGCTATCTTTTACGGATCGATCTGGATAGGGAAATATATTATATTAGCTTCATATTTACCTGTATATATAAGGCATGTGTGATGGTCGTTAAGATGCTAAAGCATAATAAACATATTTTTGATCCTCAATAAAATATATATGATATAATAGTGATATATTGCTAATCATCTGTGCAAGTGCAACTATCTGCTTGTGTGATAACATAATTTCATAAATCAATCCTCCCCAAAAAAATATTTCAAATTTGTTTCTCACACTTTCGGTCAAGACCTTCAGGAGATAGCCTATCCTGTTAGATTTTCTTTTTTCGAACTATAGTGAGAAAAACGGTTATAGTATTAAGTAGATGGATGAGAAATCTATATATGCATTACCCCTAACACCTTTTTAAAGTCGAAATTTTTAATGCATACCCTTCATTCCCTTATTCTTGAACACAACATTTTTGGCGTAAAAAGCATTGCATATTCTTTTACTTCAACAGAGATGTGAATAAAGAAATTACAAATATTAAAAAGGACAGTATAGTGAAATTATTATTACGCCTTTACATTATTTTTTTACTTTGTTTAGCAAGTTTTATACTAACATTCAACTTTATTTTATCAAAATATGGAAGAATTCCTTTTAACAAGAGAACCCCTTGATATTATCAGAATTTTCACGGCATTATTTATACGAGTAGAGAAAGGTGAATAGACAGACGTTCTCAAAAAAGAAGTAGAGAACTTTGAACAAGTTTGCAAAGAGTTTTAGAACAAGTCCCCTCAGAGGATATTGAGTGGGTAAAGAAGCTTCGAAGTTTTGGTACTGGAAAAAACTGGCAAAACGGGTATGGTGATGAATTATTTTATGATAAATATATGGATATGATGACTTGTATTTTTAGGTTTTCTAGTATGGTATAACCACTAGCGAAGAGGCTGATGTTCGTTGTAATATTATTACTTCCCACACAGTAGTAACTAGTTATATATCATATGATACTTATTAGACATTTCATCGGCATTTGAAACTTTATGAAAATAAAAACCTAATCTGATCTCTCAATGTAAAATTAAATTATTTGTTAAACTAGCCTTGAGATACTAATTTTAATACGTTTTTAGGTTGTGATAGCATTTGAGGATCTATGCTCACTCTTAGAAATGGAAGCATTAGTAATTGATACTAAAGCCTGTTGTGAAGATGCAAATATAAATTTATGATCTCTGAAGCATAACGTTAGTCGGTGTATAAGTGAGAGCACTAGTTATGAGAAAACCATATGGGAGAGAATAGAGATAGAACTTGAGGAAATAAATGTGAAGAACCTTAGATTTGATCGTCTGATTTGTTCAGGCGTTCTGGATATCAAGTCAGAACTCTTTACAGATATACCAGGATCAGTTTGTGATATTTTTAAGGAACCATTTCAAAAATATAAGTTAGAACAGAATCATGATATAATGGAAGCCTATAAAGAATTTATCCGGAATGAGAAATCGAAAATTAATATGGATGAAATTTTGGATAATATTAATTATGGAGAATGGTTGGATAAATCTGAGGAATTATAAGATTTAACAAAACGGATGTTAAAATCAATGTAAGTACAAATTTCTCCTTTGATGCTATGTATCTGCAGGAGATAGCCAATCTGTCTGGAATATATTTTCTTTTTTATAAATTTGAAAAAAAGGCTTATTAACTGATAAATAATTATAGGCTCAAAGTTTAGAAATCGCCAAAATACGAAGCATATATAAAGAAGAGAAAATTGATAAATGAAGGATTGTATGTTTGTGAAGTTCTCGCATCATTGATAAATATAGTGATGAGTGATTTACCAGAAAAACCAATAACGTGGGATATACATGAAGTCGAAATGGATCATTTTAGATATCTGAAATGGTCGAAATGGTCGAAATCATTTCGACCATTGGAGGTTAAAGTCACGAAATAGTCGAAATGACATCATATCACATGATTTTTCATATTTAGAAAAAACAAAAAACAAAAGATGTACGATCTCAGTCAATATTGCTCCGATTCATATGAAACAACTACCATTCGATTCCTCATTCGATTCCTCACTCTCTTTCTCATTGGATTTTTTCCAAGAATTTTTACTTAAAAAAAGTATCCATTCAACGGTGTCCGCGGCTTAGCCTGTAAACAAACAAAAAAACCCCACCTTTCAAAAATATTCCTCTCTTTGTTCCCACACCCCTATCCACATAAAATTTTTCGAAATAGTCTAAACAGTGTTTTTTTTGTTAAAATATTTTTTCTTCACCTCTTTTCAAGAAAATTTTTCCATTTTTCTCTTTTTCTTTTTTGCCTACTCAAAAGTGGACATCAAAGGGTATCCCAACTGATGATTATGATCGACATACTTTGGATAAACAAATCTCACGTGATGACACCTTTCCCCTTCCTAAACAATATACTCTCTTTTGA